GCTGGGAGGACCTATCGTACCACTTAGCAAAAGGCTGATTTGCATCACCAACGCAGGGTAAGGAAATGGTAAGCTAAGGGATGGAGGCTGAGAGGCTGTGGGAACCTGGGGCCTGGCCTTATCTAGTATCTAATCAAAGGCCTTGGGGTGGGGCTTGGTTCCATGGCCAAGCTGTCCTGCCATGGGAACGTCTGGGAGTTTGAGAAATAGAACTGTAAGCACCTTGCGTCCACTTGTCACCACAGCCTAACCTAGCTGATCCTGACCGTGTTGCCTTCTGTGCTCAGCACCACTCTGTCCTCCCAACATCTATCCTCCCTTCGTGGCTCCTCAGAGCACCTGAGTTCGGCGTAGGTATCACCCAGTTCTACAAGGCCATGTGTCTGGGGATAAGGAGTCCAGTTCCCCGTCCCAGGGGGAAATAATAATTTACACCGTTCATGACAGTGCCTTACTCCTTGTTGGCGATAGGTTTTCATACGGGCATATGAGGCTAAGGAAAGTCTGCCCCAGGGCTCCTGAGAAAGGTTTTTGTTTTGTTTTGTTTTGTTTTTGCTGACAAAAAGAGGCACATGTGAGGAAACAGTCTCTCTGCTTCTGTAGGATGTTTTTTGTGTGTATTTAAAAAAAAATCATGGAATATGTGTATCACTATGTAGGTATATATATGTGTGTACCACTATGTGGATTTCAAATTTTTTTTTTTTTTTTGACAGGCAGAGTGGACAGTGAGAGAGAGAGACAGAGAGAAAGGTCTTCCTTTGCCGTTGGTTCACCCTCCAATGGCCGCCGCGGCCGGCGCGCTGCGGCTGGCGCACCGCGCTGATCCGATGGCAGGAGCCAGGAGCCAGGTGCTTTTCCTGGTCTCCCATGGGGTGCAGGGCCCAAGCACCTGGGCCATCCTCCACTGCACTCCCGGGCCACAGCAGAGGGCTGGCCTGGGAGAGGGGCAACCGGGACAGAATCCGGCGCCCCGACCGGGACTAGAACCCGGTGTGCCAGCGCCGCAAGGCAGAGGATTAGCCTAGTCAGCCGCGGCGCCAGCCTTCAAAATTTTTAGCACCAAAATGAACTTAACATTTAAATTACCATGATAATTTACCACAATTTAATTTCCAGGAGCTTTTTGAGGTACCCTCGCATATGTCAGCTAGAAGTGTGGCAGTCATTTCGTGACTATGAAGGGACCATGAAGGATGTCAGAGTGAGAAGATGGCAAAACATCTGTGTCCTTGATCATGCTACTGAGCTGTTTAAATGAACTAGCCTATTGCTGGCCTGCCCCCCGCTTCCTTGTGACATGTGAGGTGATACGTTTTCCTTACTGCTGAAGGGAGTTGAATCTAGAATGTAGGGGGAAAGAATGAGTTCAGTTTTAGGGACAATGAGGTGATGATGAGACAGTATCCTTTTATATTGCTGAAGTTTAGGAGACATCAGAGTTGATCTTTTAAAATTAATTAATTAGTTTATTTATTTGAGAGGCAAACAGAGACAGAGAGATAAGAGATCTCCCATCTGCTAGTTCATTCCCCAAATGCATGCAAAATCCCAGGTAGGGTTGGGCTGAAGCTGGGAACCAGAAACTCAATCCAAGTCTCTGGACATGGGTGGCAAGAACCCAATTACCTGAGCCATTACCGATGTCTCCCAGGGTCTGCATTAGCAGAAATTGGAGTCAAGAGCCTGAACTGGGTATTGAATGCGAGCACTCTTAATATGGGATGCAAGAATCTTAACCAATGTCTTTTTTTAAGACTTATTTATTTGAAAGGTAGAGTTACAGAGAGAGAGAGGGAGAGAGAGAGAGAGAGAGAAAAATATCTTCCACCTGCTGGTTCACTCTCCAAGCAGTTGCAATGGCCAAAACTGGGCTGATCTGAAGCCAGGAGCCAGGAGCTTCTTCCAGGTCTCCCATGTGGGTGCAGGGTCCCAAGCACTTGGAGCATCCTCCACTGCTTTCCGGCCATAGCAGGGAGCTGGATTGGAAGAGGAGCAGCCAGGACAGGAACTGGTGCCGATATGGGCTACCGGTGCTGCAGGCGGAGGCTTAATCTACTATGCCACAGTGCCAGTGCCTACTATTGTCTTAACTGCTAGGCTAAATGCCCACCTCAGGATTACATCTGAATTTAGAATCATCCATGGAAAAATACCACATGAAGTAACACATCTTAGAAAATTGTCCTATACCATCGCTGGCGCCGTGGCTCACTAGGCTAATCCTCCACCTTGCGGCGTCGGCACACCGGGTTCTAGTCCCGGTCGGGGCGCCGGATTCTGTCCCGGTTGCCCCTCTTCCAGGCCAGCTCTCTGCTGTGGCCCGGGAGTGCAGTGGAGGATGGCCCAAGTGCTTGGGCCCTGCACCCCATGGGAGACCAGGATAAGTACCTGGCTCCTGCCATCGGATCAGCGCGGTGCGGCAGCCATTGGAGGGTGAACCAACGGCAAAAGGAAGACCTTTCTCTCTGTCTCTCTCACTGTCCACTCTGCCTGTCAAAAAAAAAAAAAAAAATTGTCCTATACCTAGGGAAGCCTCTGTGCTTAAGGAATGTTGGTGACATTAAAAAACAAAAAACAAAACAAAAACAAACAAACAAAAAAAAACAGAAAAAAAAAAAACCACCACTGCACACACGCAGGTGTAGTCATTTTCTAACTGGATATACTACTGTCCCACAGCCCCATCCTAGGAAGGGGAGATCACAGAGGTGGCAGCAACCTGCTAGTGAGCAAACGCGGAGAGAGGAAGGAAGCTACCACAACATCCACATCCTCAGACCTGCTAGCCTCGAGCCCGAGTTTTGTGGATTCTGGTAGCCATCTGCATGTGACTTTCCAGTCTAGCGCGGCAGCTTTGAAAAGGGGCTAGAACTGACTTCTAAATTTACTGCTACTTACACGAGAATACTTCAAAAAGTTCATAGAAAATGTGTGTTATGAAAAACCAAGCATGAATCTCAAACTTTTTGCACCAAAATAGATTTACCTTTAAAAATTTTTTTTATGTGAAGGCAGAGAGACAGAGACAGAGACAGAGAGACAGAGAGAGAAAGAGATCCTCCATTTGCTTGTTCCCTCCCCCAAATACCTGCAATGGCCAGGGCTGGGTTGGTGGAAGCCCAGAGCCTGGAACTCAGTCGTGGTCTCCCCTGTGGGTGGCAGGGACACAGCACTTGAGCCATCATCTGCTGCCTACCAAGGTGCACATTAGGAGAAAGCTGGAACCCAGGCAGCTCTCACACGGGATGCAGGTGTCTCAAGTGGCTTTTGACCACTGCACTAAATGCCTGCTCCAAATCAACTTATCTTTTAATCCCTTTTCCACACATTTTTGTTCTAACAATCCATGATTCTGCTCATCTTATACACGTGGTTGAACAATGGGGAAGCCAGCAAAGCCTGTGAGTTCAGGCTCTTCTTGGCCCCTTCCTGTAGCATTCCTTCCTCAGAGGCACAGGGCAGGAAGAGGGGGTCTGATGATCTACTATCAGGCCAGGTGAAGCATGTTGTAGACTCTCGGATGAAAACTGGATCCGTTCACCCAGTGCACAGTAAGCCAAGCACTGACACCAGGGTTAGAAGAAAACAGGTGTTTATCTTACAGTGGTGCAGCACAAGCAGTCAGACAGCTGTTGGTCCTAGTGCTGGGAATCCTGTGGCTTATACTTAGAAGACCTGGAGCACTGGGTCAACAAAATAAATACTATAGAAAACCAGGGAAATGGCCAGTGTAGAAGGTAGCATCTCTTCTGCCCAAGTGGATCTGCAGTTAGAAGACAGCCTTGAAAAGTACTAATCCACAGGGCACTAGGTTATTGTAAAATACATAGGGTGTGTGTGTGTGTGTGTGTGATATTTTGCAACACAAAAGACCTTATTGAGAATTGCCCGGAAAAGAATTAGTGTTTGAAATTCTTTGTAGGTAGAACTTTTCCCAGGGTGCATCTTAGTGGTAAATTCATATTCTTGCGAAATATTTACAAGTGACTCCTATACCTTCCATGAGACACCTTACACTGTTACTAATTTGTCATTACTGAGTTTTGTCTTGCTTCCCTAAGCCAAAAGGGGTGGGGGTGGGGGTGGGGGTGGGGAGAAGGCGCATTTTAATGAGCTGGAAGAGCAAATGCAGTCCTCAAAGATGGCTAACTTCATTCTTGCAGTTATTTGGAAAGGAAAACCTGGCTTCCAACACTGTTGTTTGCAGGCAGGATTTGCAACCAGCGAGGACAGAGGACAGGGTTTCAAGATGACTCAGTTGTGTGGCCTGGGGGAATGAGGCAGGGAGGAAGGGAGAAGGGTCCTAGAGTCTTTCTTCCAGGTTCTGAAAGCCTAGAGCAGCTGCAAAGTAGGAGGGGGTGTCCTGGGCAAGAAAGACCTTGAGAAACGCACCTGCGAATGATCTGAAGGGGTGGCGGCTAACACTCAACTTGCCCCTGCCTCCCACAGGGCTTCAGGCTAGGATCTGAGCAGAGAGATCTTTCTCCTTCCAAGGCCAGGGCCCAACTGGGGGCCCAGCCCTGTGACCTTGGTCTCCTCTGGGACGACCCTGAGGTCCTGCGCGGGGTTCTGCGGGCGGCTACCCGTGCCGCGGTCACCAAGCGCGCTACTCGTCCACCTTTGGGGAGCATCCGCGGCCCACTGCGCAGAGGCCGGCAGGCTCGGACACCCTCTCCGACCCCACGGGGCCGCCGCCCCACTCTTGCCCGCAGCACCTCGCCCACCTCGGTCTCGGGCAGCCCAGGGATGCCATTCCCCGGCCTCGCCATCGCTCGGGCTCCCGGGGGCCGCGAGCCCCGCCCGGCTCCCCTCCTCCGGCCGCCGCAGGCCCCCGGCCCACCGCCCCTCCCGGCCGCCGCCCGCCGCCCGCCGGGCCGCCTCTGCAGCTGGCCGCGCCGGCCCGTGCCCGCCGCCGCTCGCTGATTGGCTGGCCCGGGCCGGCGGCGGCGCGGAGTGGCCGGGCCGATTCGCTGGGTCAGGGCTGCAGAGGCGCCTGGCGCACCGGCGGGAGCGAAGCCGCTGCGCGCCCGCCCTGCAGAGAGAGCGGCCCGGGGCGCCGAGGGGTCCGCGCCGCGCGGGGCGCCGCCGCCCTGGCCGCCATGTGCTCCCAGCTGTGGTTCCTGACGGACCGGCGCATCCGCGAGGACTACCCGCAGGTGCAGATCCTGCGCGCCCTCAGGCAGCGCTGCTCCGAGCAGGACGTGCGCTTCCGGGCGGTGCTCATGGACCAGATCGCAGTCACCGTCGTCGGCGGCCACCTCGGTGAGCGAGGCGGGCCCCGGGAGGGCGGGGAGGCGCGCCGGGGTCCCCGCGAGCCGGCCGGGTGGGCGCGCTCACCCCGGCCTCCCGCAGCCGAGTCTCCTTGGGGCCCCGCACACCGGCCGCCCTCCCCCTTGGAGACCTCTCGGGCTTTGAGAAAGCTCCTAACCTTGATAGCTTCGTTTGCCTACCGCCGTCCGCCCTGAGGCCGAGATGTGAGAACGCGATTTCGTTTACTTAGGGACTTTGTTTGCTGAAGACCGCAATTTCGTCCGAAGGCGCCCGGGTATCCCAGGAAAACCAAGCTGCCAACCCTAGTGTGTTCTACTTGCATGGATCCCTTGTCAGTTTAGACTGAGCTGTCAGAAACCCACCCTACACTTGCAAAATTGCGATTAAGATGAAGATTTGGAAAAGTTTTCCAGGAGTGTGAAAGCATCAGCAATGCGCTACAAACACGGGTATTTCTGAGCTGGGAGCCAGCATCCGGGGGAAACCTGAGCGGGACTGGCGGCCCCTCTGGGGTGTGAAGTGGCAGAGCAGATCTTGGATGGGTTTCCTTTAACTCCTCCTCCTCCCCCCCCCAAAGTGTTGTTTCCGGTTCCAGAAAAGCAGGTTCAGGTACAGTCTAGTCCCCCTGATCACTCCACTGCGGTGGCCAAGAGACTTTTTGGGTGAGACATGGTTATCATCTGTGACTGTGACCTCAAAAGGTTAAGTCTGTTTTTAGCTTTTCCTAATTATCCCATCTGCAAGCCCTTTCTGAGGGAAGAATCCCGATTTAGGAGCTTCCCATCGGATTCTCCTCTGCTCCTTCTGGGGATGTCCAGCCAGACTCAAGTCGGGTTAGCCCCAGTTCGAGGTTCTTCTTGGGATACTATTAATATTATTTCAACCACATTTAGTAAGATCAACTTATAATGTGTTACTTTGCTTTGGCCAGGAAGGGGATTCCAAATTCTGGACAGGTTACCTACAAGGGAGGTTTTGAGTGTGACCTGCTTCTAAGAGCTCCTTTCTCCATGCATGTTTTTGAACTCTTTGTATGTAGTGTCAGATCGTATGTCCTGTTGGAGAAATGTACAGCAGACATTAGGGGCCTTCCATTTCAGCTAAAGCAGCGTCCTCCAAACAGCAAGGGTACCTTCTTTCTATCCTTGATTTGCCAAAATCGGCACAGTCGGTTCAGGTGGAACCTGAAAAGGGACTCAGCATGCAGACCTGAATTCGCCCGGCTTGGCTGTTAGCAAGCATCTTGGCTTCACTTTGGGCAAGCCGCTTTACGTCTTTGAATCTTCGGTTTCTCATCTATAGAACTAAGGATTAAGATTCCTCTAGCTTGGAAATTCTGTGTTTCAATGCCACGTTTAAATTAGATCATCTGTTCTCTTTTACCGATCTAGATTAAGTACTTCAATATATGTATCTTTCCATGCCCAGGTTGAGTTCGTTTGCTTATTTATTTGACAGCTGGTATAGATGTCTTTTGAGATACAACGAACAAAATTCCACATCATGTCCCTGTTGTGCACCGTCACAGATTTTTTAAGAGTAGGAAGATGCTCGATCTGAAATCCCATTTTAAAAAACCAGTAGAGAAAAAGAGAAAATTAAATTCTAATACTGTGGGAGACCTCTAAACCCTTTTATTGAATGTCTGAAAATTCGGTGGAATTCATGTGTGAAAATGTCAATTTGCTCACGACTCGGGAGTTACTTTTTAAGTGCGAGAAAATCTACATAGCTGTTTGGTAACTGTTGATGGGGAAATTGAAGACAAGTACTTTCTGATGTGGCCTTTGGTTTTTGTCAGCACAGAAATCACAACCCATACAACAAACCCATTAGATCACCGCTTCTGCTTCCAGAACTGTCCAAGGTTTGTTTGAGGGAGAGGACTCATGAATGCACAGGAAAACGAGCTCCTTGAGACGACCGACTTCATTCAGTGCTGTAGTAGTATCAGCATAGTGCCTTGTACATAGTAGGCACTCAATCAATGCTTTTGAGTTAGTAACGATGCGAGCTATTTTCCCCAATTTCCTCTAAAACTATAGAAAACTTTCGGCAATTTGCTAAGCCAAAGTATTCCTCTGAAAAAAATTGCAGAATTCACTGGCATTGAAATATATAGTTATACTGATAGTGATGCAATTTCACATTTGAGAATTACAAAATGTGAGAGCTGGGGAGACTTTGAGATCATTCATTCCAACTTCTTCCTTTTGTAAACAAGAACTTGAGACGCAGAGAGCTTGGAGGGATTTCCTGAATGCCGGGCAGCTCATCAGCAGTTTAAGAACCGGCTCTCCTAATTCCCAGCCCGGTGATACGGGATGAGCAGGCTTCAGGGCAGCTGCAACTGATGGGACTTTTCTCAATCGATGTGGAATTCAAGCTGGACAATACCTTTGCGAAGGACTTTTATACTTTAGGAAATTAAATCCCGCCATTACAAAGCCTTCTTGCCTTCACTCCTTTCTGCTACTTCTTAAATTAGTGCAGGAGCATAATGAAGGAGTCTGTTTGGGCCAGGGATGGCCAGTGCCTCAGCCAATTGCTAAAATTCATCCCTGAGCTTTCCTCTCTGGGGGTCCAAATGCAGAGATTAAAATTTCAGATTCTGCTGGTGGCGCAGCTCACTAGGCTAATCCTCCGCCTTGTGGCGCCGGCACACCGGGTTCTAGTCCCGGTCGGGGTGCCGGATTCTGTCCCGGTTGCCCCTCTTCCAGGCCAGCTCTCTGCTGTGGCCCAGGAGTGCAGTGGAGGATGGCCCAAGTGCTTGGGCCCTGCACCCCATGGGAGACCAGGATAAGTACTTGGCTCCTGCCATCGGATCAGCGCGGTGCGCCAGCCGCAGCGCGCCAGCCGTCGCGGCCATTGGAGGGTGAACCAACGGCAAAAGGAAGACCTTTCTCTCTGTCTCTCTCTCTCTCACTGTCCACTCTGCCTGTCAAAAAAAAAAATTTTTTTTTTCAGATTCTATCTGGAAATAGGATTCAAACAATAGATGAAAAGCTTTGGATTGAAAGATTGCATTCAGACATGTAATCTGAAAGTGCTCTACAAACACAAGCTTTCATGATTTAAAAACATTTATTTATTTATTTGAAAGGCAGATACAGGAAGTGGCAGTGGGGGATGGAGGGGGAAAGAAAGATCTCCCATCTGCTAGTTTGCGCTCTAAATGTGCCTGCCACAGCTGGGGCCAGGCCAGGCCAAAGTCGGGAGCTGGGAAGTCAATCCAGGTCTCCCCCATGGATGGCAGGGACCTAAGTACTTGAGCCATCACCATTGCCTCCCACCGTGTGAGAGCAGGAAGCTAGAAGCAGGAGTGGAGGTGGGACTCCAGCTCAAGCACTCTCATGTGGGATGCAGACAAGCCAAGTGGCATCTTATCTGCTATGCCAAATGCTTCTTGCCCCTTGAGTATTATTTTTAACCCATGCCAAGCACAGGTTTGGGTGGGGAGATGGTTGGGAAGAGAGGAAAGACAGGTGCCTCAGGCAATTCTGTAGGAAGTGCGTGTAGCGTAATGAAATGCATGTCCCTTTCCGCCAGCGTAGCATTATGAAATGCATGTCTGTCTCTTTCCTTCTGAGACTGCAAGTTCTTCATTTGTTCACTCAGCAAATACTTATTGTTTTCGACCCTAGGGATAAGGTGTTGAATGTGACCCAAAGTCATTTAATAATACTGGCCGTAGCAAGATGCGTATGGTGCTTTTTCTGTGCCAGACTTAGGTCCAGGTTCTGTTTACAGGTCTCTGGGCGTGCACACACACTGGTCTCTGCGCAGGGAGTTAGAACCAATATGCAGTAATTCTGGCCTCATTTCCTCCATTCTACTCCATGCCTCGGGCTACACAGACTTCCCCATGGACCTCTGGGATTCCTGGTCTTGCACTGAAATTCCCTGAGGTGCCCATCTTGCCCCTCCTGCATGGTAAGCTTTTTTATTCATCCCTCAAGTCTAGCACAAGCCACTCATCTCCATAAGGTCCTGCTTAACACCCTCTGCCCCATCCCCAAGTAGCCAGCATCTTCTCTCTGCTGCCAAGTAGCGTCGTCCTTACCTTTTAAAGTAGCAGTCATCCTATTTTATATACGAGGTTTAGCTTCCCTATCCTCCTGAATAACTCTGGATTCTTCAAGCATAAACCCCATAACTGGCACACAGTGGACCTTGGGTTATGTTGTTTGGTTGACGAGTGAAGTGCCTGAAAGGCTGATGTGAAGCATATGTGACTTTTATGGTAATGAGTTTGTGTCTGGGAGCTTGTGATTGGCTGTGTAAATGTTTCCGTGATGAGCCATTCTATGAGGACAGTGAATAGCATAGATCTGTGCTGTTAACAAACACAGGGGCAGACACCGAGACAGTTGAAATGAGTCTGACCTGGAAGTGTGCTTGTGTTACAGTTTGTTTCTTAGGAGCAGAATGATTCAGCATTTCCTCTCTTAGAGCTACAGCCTTGATGGCTGTATGAGAATTTCTAGGTCAGAGTCTTGCTTTTTAAAAAAAATTTATTTATTTATTTGAGAGAAAAAGAGAGAGAGAGAAAGCTCCCGTTTTTCTGGTTCACTTGCCAAATGCCCACACAAGCCAGAGCTGAGCTGGAGCTGAAGCCAGGAGCCAGGAACACAATCCAGGTCTCCCACATGGGTGGCAGGAACCCAATCAGACGTGAGCCATCTTCATTGCTTCCTAGGCTCTGCATTTGCAGAAGGCTGGAGTCAGGAGCAGAGCTGGGTATCGAACGCAGGCACTGATACAGGATGTGAGTCCTAGCCTGGTTCTCAGCCACCAGGCCAAACACCCACCTTACCTCAGGTTCTTTAAATCAAGGTGTTCTGGGAGCCTTTTATTTGGTTCTTTGTAGTAATCAGGTGCGTGAAGTTCAGGGGCGAGCGTTTAGTGCACTGGTTGACACCACGTGGAACACCTGCATCCCATAGCAGACTGCCTGGTTTCAAGTCCCTACTCTGCTCCTGGTTTTGTCT